ATGTTAAACTTGGTTTTACCCTTCCAAAGACTCTGCTGTGTGACGATTGGAGCGAGTTTATGAGGAATATTTTATACAGTGATTCAAAGAAATGTTTTTGCATATACTGTATATGTTATTGATCTATTGTTGAATGTCACTTATATTATAAAGTGCCAATGGTTGGAATATTTATTCATTGATATTTTAAACACAGATTAAGTGTTATATGCTCTTTCCTTGTTTACGTTTTCCTTGCAGCCAAATGTTGTTGAAGCTGGCAAGCTGCAAAACTGACATATGAGTGATATGACCCAAATATTGGATATGCATCTTAGTTTGCTTCCAGTAAAATGTAAACAAGACCGTAAGAATTCTATACGAGATAAGAAATATTACGTTTAAAATCATGACTGGCAAATTAGCATGTACGAATTGATGCTTCCTAATAATAGTATGTACTCCAGTAAAGCTTGCTTGCTTCAATTCTTGCTGTTACCATCTGCACATTATCAGGGTGGAGAGTTGATTTCAATTTTTTGTCCCAGGGGATAAAGGTAGGGAATAGATTTTCCATCACAAAAGGGGCAAGGTGCCCAACCAGTTAGAAGATGGCATGTACTTTAAGTGACCATTCATTATGCCCTAGGGTGGGGTGGGAGATTCTTATGTCAAAATGTCATGGGACCCCTTTTTAATCTCTTAATTTAATAATGGAGACCCTCCTAAATATTTAAGACTATATAACATGATGCAATTCTAATCTTCATTCATGTGAATGCCTGACTATGAAGAAAATACATTTTGCAACACAGGGATGGATCCGGCATGATCTGGTAGGGGGTGTGTGCTCTTCCAGCTCTGGTGCCGAGTTGTGTCGGTCATGTGTGCTGCCCGCCCATCAACTTGCTTCACTACTGCAAAGTCTTGCTTTACTACTGTATTTGAATTGTAATTGTTGTTCACAGCTTGCTTATCATCATGTTATTACTCAAATTACTGTATCTCATTTTGCCTGTAATAATTTTTTGCTTTATCATGAAAAATAGCACCCCCGTGCACCCCCTCTGGCCAGGGCTAGGGGAGTGCACAGCCCCCCTCCCCCAGTAAATCCATCCCTGTTGCAACATACACCACAAGAGCTAGAATGATTGCTTCCTTTGGATGATTTGTCTTAGAATTATATTACCTATATTACAACAATTCTTCCTATTCTGAAACCAGTTGCTATTCTGTTTTTTACAACACTCACCCCCCCCCAAAAAAAAGACTCAACAAATCAAGGACCCCCTCCAAGGCAATTTTGCCAGCAAAATAGATTAAATTTGATTGTAATTGTTCTGAGAATATATTAACTCATTGAGTGGCAGCATTCTGCCTAGACTTGCCACAAGTCGACCTCAAACGAAATGCAAGCAGCGAGTGTGAGCCAACGTTTCGTTCGAGGTCGACTTGTGGCAAGTCTACATTCTGCCCTTGAGTAAAATTGTTTGGCATCAGACGGAGTAATATACTAAAGTAGGGACATTGCCACTATAAAGGGTTAAACAAATTTTAAAAAATTTTGCAATGGTCTTATTGGACTCTATATTCAAAAAGCTCAATTTGTAAATTTTAATTGACTTTAATTAAATTAATATAACTACTTATACTTATAGCTACCTTGCCCCAGTCACTTCAAGTGAATTCTATGGGAGGAGGGGGACATTGAAAATCCCTGGGTTTACTTGATAAAAGCAAGAATTGAACCATGCATTACATGTATATGGAGAGCAGTTTTAAATATATTTTATCATGCAAATACCTTGATAATTGTTCTTAAACGTCTTTGGCTTAGAATGGGTACACCCTCCAAAGGTGTTTATTTACAGGGTCCAAAGGTGTAAATATACACTGTCCAAGGTGTTAATATAAACAACAAAAACAATGTATATAATTAAATTTTATTAAATAAAATGTGGAATATTTTACAAATTGCATTACCATCCCAAAGTGTACATAATTTATCAATATAATTAGGACTTAGAAGCTGTTCACATGAGTTTGACTCTGACCCCAGCACCCTTGGCTTAGCTCTCCTTGCCCGATCACAAGTAGAAAACCTCCAACCCCCTCTGACAAATCAGTCCAGATCTGCCCAAGAGGCAGGATTTTCTGGAATATTATTAGCAGTGAAATTGTTGCATATTTTCAAGCATGCATTGTAACCTGATTTTAAAGCCTGTTTGAACATCAGACATTGTGGCAATGGCAAGATGGTTCAGCGATATGAATACAATCTTAAAATATCATAAAAGCAATTCAATTTAAGGCCAGACAGCCCAACTCCTGCAAACAGCCCTTTATTACACATTTGAAGCATCTCTTGAGGCATCAAAGTACTGTACATGTAGGCACATGGAATTACATACGAGTTTGTGACATAAGCCCACCATTGCACAACTTTGTCTGCAACAATGCAAATACAACAAATGCAAATACAATCAAGCTGGAAACGGATTTTATCAGTATTTTGATATATACATTATGGCTCATGTCTAAAGACACCTGCACTTTCATATTGAAATTGTTCTAATATCATCCAAACAAAACACATCAGAAAACTGTAACATCAGCCAAATGACCAAATCAGAGGGTCCTGAAGGGGGGGTCCCATGCAATCCCATTTCCCACCTGAAATTTTAGCAAAATCTCAGTCCCAGTTGCATTTTTATTAGAAATCCCAGTCCGAGTTATTGAAATCCCAGTCAATAAAAAACCCTTTATTTATCGGTACAATAAACAGTTTTAAGACTTTTAAGCTGCCATGTGTGCAAGTGGCGAACACTTTATGAAATATTGGAGGAGGTTCGTGCCGAAGGCATGGAAAATTTTTAAATTTGAATCCCGGAAATGGCATTTGCAGCATTCTGAGACACGCATAATCAGAAAACCCAGAATTTCGGGCGCCAGAGTATGCCTGTTCTCAGGTAGTGCTGTGAATAATATAGTTAACAACAAAAATCATGACCAAAGACACGAAAAACGGATCAAAATTGTATTTTAAAATACTTAAAACGTAGAAAAATTGGGAATCGACTCGCATTACCTCAATCCCATTCCCATTTTTGAGGACTTCGTTTCCCATTGCCAGTGGCCAAATCCCAGTCCCAGCAACCCAAATCCCATTTTCCCAGTCTAAAAATAGATCAATCCCAGTTCCCATTTTACCCCTTCAGGGCCTTCAAGTCACTTTTTTAACACAATTTATGGTAAAATGAAGCAACATGTAATAGTATCTGAAACAAAACCAAATCACATATTATTCAAAAGTTGTAAACACTGTTGCATATATGATATTTAACAAATATAAAACATTTTCCGTGTTGATATACAGTTATATCAACACGAGTGGAAATTGGGAAAACGAGAAATTGTGTGGAAACACGACGCCCGAAGGGCGGAGTGTTTTCACACAATTTCAAGTTTTCCCAATTTCCACGAGTGTTGATATAACTATATATCAATACGGAAAAAATGTTTTATATTTGTTTTATAATATAGCACAAAAAAACATAAAGAAAGAAATTTTCCGACGTTTCCGTGTTGACATTGAGTTATATCAACACGGCTCTTAGCCAATCAGCGTTCAGAATTTACAAATTATATATTATAAAACAAAATAATAAAATATCGTCGCATTTCTAGTGGTAACTAACTACAAATTAGGCCAATTTAAACTCCACTATGAAGAATATCAAAAACTAAAGGTCATGTTTCAGTTTATAAACCCAGACTTTAGTTTTATAAATATAAACATTATAAACGCTATACGAAGCCAAATATGAAGGCACATTTTGCCCTAAATACTCGGTCAGAGCCTCAGAGGTGTGTTCTAGTACACAATTAATCTTCTCTCACAGTTTAAAACAAACAATAATACTAACCTTCGACAAATTGTATATAAATCTTGTCGAATTTAACCATTTTGCCACAGATTTTGCCAAAAATATTTCTTAGACGGACAAATATTAATAATGGACACTCCTTGCATGAAATGTTAATTTATCCCAAAGTATTTGCATAATAATGTCTTGTCATTGACCAATCAGAATACATAGAAGACCGGCCGGTGCCAGGGCCTTTTCCCGCCTTCCCAATGACAAAAAGGGAAAGCCCTGGGAACGAGGTTGAGACGGTGATTAATAAGTGCTTCAAACTGTCTTACTTAAACTTGTTCGTATTATGTTATCTAGATCCTCTTTGTAGTATCGCATTAGGCGATAGGGGCCGGTGTAGGATCTAGCTAGGTCAAGCCCGAATTTAGGGATTAACCCGCGATCGGGCAGAGACGAACACATGTTTTGCTTTTATATTTGAGAGACGAACTCGCGTTGATTTGTGTGCTTTATAAAAGTTGTTTGAACGTTGTAGTGTTGTAGTATAGCCAGAGGACTAACAGTCAGGTATTTGTCTTGTATTGTTTTATTGTTTGTAATCGTATTTGTATAGTTAAATATCTATGTTTTGTAAATTTATCGTTTAGAAACCACACACGTTGACACGGTGACACAGTGAGATTATATATTTTGACTTTGTATCAATAAATATTATATCTATATCCTTTTGGACATTTGGATTGTTTATTCTACCGGAATATATCGTGCGTTTCGCTGACGTTTTATTGGGGAAATACTGCAGTACAACACAATGCCAATGTTTGTAAAAGGCGATTCATCGCTTACTCGACAGCTGGGTAGTGATGGCTCTCGTGGACTCTGAAACGCCTTTCCTTCAATCTTCTTACATATAACACACCTTTTCAAAACACATTTAACTGCTTCTCTTCATCTTAATACCCAATACGTCTCTCGTACGCCAATAAGAGTTGACTTAATACCGTTATGATGAACTCGTTTATGTTCCTCTTCGATTGTTAGCTCCGTAAAGCGGTGCTTAGACGGTAAAAGGATTGGTTCTTTGGTTTCTGTCGATATCGTTGAATATTTAAGTCGTCCCTTGCATTGAATGATCTTGCCCACATCGAGGAAAAGATTCAATTGGTTGATTAGTTGGTTTGGATTCTTGTGACTTGAATTCAGACTTCGGAATTCTTCTGTAAATGATGATAACCGGATGCTTTTCAGCCATAACTGATCAGCCTCTGTTAGGTTTTCAGTGGTTAATTCTTCACCTTCAATCGTGCTTTCCATACGCTTCATTTTCCTTACAGCTCGCAGAATCAATGCGGTAACTCGTAACAACTTAGTCTTTGAGTTGTATTTGTTGCAATCCATTATTGCTCCGATGTTGGCGTGAAAAAATAACTCGACGGATTCGGTTGAAAGATTTGGCGTTGTCAACGCATGGGTCACTGTTTTAGGATTCTTCACGACCTCATTTATCGAAAACTCGGTTTCTTTGACCTCAACTTCTTGCAGCCATTCTGCTTCGGGGTTATATAGAAATTCGGGTCCTTTCCACCATCGTTTCTTATTTAGTAATTCTCTCGCATTCATTCCACGTGAAGGAAGATCTGCTGGGTTTTGTACGCCAGGGCAATGTCTCCACGATTCTTGTGTTGTGCACTCACGAATTTCCTTCACTCTTGTAAGCACATATTGGTTCCACGGTTTGGCATTCTTTATCCAATACAACACTGTTTTCGAGTCAACCCAGTAAAAGAATTCGATGTTTTAAGACAATTCTAAGGCATTCCGAATGTTACTGGTGCGTCTTGCGTGTATATTCGCTCCAAGTAACTCCAATCTAGGTATACTCTGCTTCTTCAATGGCGCGACACTGGTTTTTGTTGCGATCAAATTGACATCCACAAGACCACTTTCGTATTTCGAACGGAGGTATATAGCTGCTGCATATGCCCTCTCTGACGCATCCCTAAAACAATGAACTTGTACTGAAAGTACTTTGTTATCTACTTCAAATATTTACTAAGAAATTCTAATGGCAAGTTGTTTATTCCTAAGCCCAATACTGATTATCTTAAGCGCTCCTTCAGTTATAGTGGAGCATCACTATGGAACTGCTTGCCTGAATCTCTTAGATTATCATCATCCCTCTCCTCGTTTAAAGGAAGTCTGGAATCTCTATATTCTTCCAGTCCTACCAAATCCCACACGGCAACCAGGTAGAACAGTACCTCTCCTCCTTTCCTTCTTCCCTTCAATCTTGTCTTCTTCCTAACTTATATTAATTGCTTTTATTTGTAAATAGATAATTTTCATAAAATGTACTGATGGTTCTCCGTGTTCTAAATAAAGTTATGTATGTATGTATGTATGTACATCTTGGTACGCACACATTGCTCAGAGCTTGAAGATCTGATATCAGTAAGTCCCATTTTCTCAAATGTTCGCCACTTAATTCACCATCCCATTCGATGCTTTCGTTGCATAGCAACGGGAACAACACATTCCACTGAATAGTAAAGGACTTAGCAATCCAAGCGGGTCAAAGATCTTTGCTGATATCAGTGGCGGCGCCAGGCCTCAAAATTTTTTTTTTCTTTTTCGGGGGGGGGGGGG